AGTTTACTGGGTTGTTTCTTAAATTGGGTTGTTAACACATAAATGGGTTCCGGATGGGTTATTGCGTCGGGTTTGTTGTGCGGCAATTTCAAGGGTTTGTTGAAGATTTACGGTGGAGGAAGGTTTGCTGAAGAAAGGTTTTGGATTTTGAGGTTGTGGATTGTGATTGTTGGGTAAAACGAAGATGAAATTGGGGATGATTTTGGTCTGAACCAGTTTGTTATCGGTTGAAAAATGAAGGATTTCGGTCGTTGTCCTGGATTCGTTTTGAAAGGATGTTTGAAGACGACAGTATGGAGGTTTTGACGGTTTATGAAATGGAATGAGGATTGGGGTTTCGACAAGATGAACAGGGGGATGTTCGTTAGGGGGCTTCATCGGTGAAAATGGCGATGGGGTTCTTAGGGGTTCGTTGTTGAAGGATTCGCTTTGTGGTTCGCCGGCGGTGAATGAGCGGTTGTGTAGAGAGTTCCAGAGATGGAGATTGAAGATTGTTGTGGGTTTCTGAGAAACGGTGATTTTCGGTTGGTTACGGTAGTTTATGATTATTGATGATGGAAGGTAGCGGTGGCTTGCTGAGTTTACGGAAGTAGGTTTGAGAACCTAGATCGTGAGTTTGTTTACGGTGATAGTTGTGTTTCGAAAGTCATGGAGTTTGAAAGTTTGATTCATGGTTGAAGCTTGAAGAAAAGTTTGAAGGTTCTGACAAAAATTGCTTGAAGGTTGGAGAGCAATGGTGAGGATGAAGAATGTTTGGGAAGGAGGCTGAGATTCTTAGAAAAAACGTTGGAGGTTTGAAACTGTGGTGGAGATTTTGGTAAGTATTTGAAGGTTGTTGGTGATTAAGTTTTGAAGACGGTCGGGATAGGTTTAAGAGGTTTAAAGTGGTTTTCTGGTGTTTGTTTTGTTGTTTCAGTGACAGGGCAGTGGCAAGTGTTTATGGAAGAAACATGGTGGCATCACCTTGTTTGTGTTTAAAAAGATAAAATAGGGGATGTTATGTTACAGTGTATGTTTGGTAGTGGGAAAATGGTGAAGGTGGAGGTATCTTCGGTTAGATTTCTGGGTTCTTGATAACGCGAAGATTGAAATAACAAGGGTGTTGGAGATGGAAGTTTGAAAGGTTTTTGATATTGAAGGATGAAGAAGAAGAAAGTTTAGAAGAAAAGATGAAGCGTGAAGAAGATGAAGGGTTGAAACGTTGTTTCATATAAACAAGTGATAGCTGCGTGTGAGTTTGAAGCAGAGTTTAGGGAGAAAAATATTTGATGGGTGAAGAGGCTGATGATGTGGAGGATGTTATGTTATTTTTGTGCGATTTTGGAGTTTGTTGGTTGTTTGGTTGAGAACGGTTTGGAGAAGTGGAAGTTTGGGTTGAATTAGGAATCTATGGTGCGTGTATTGTTATTCGAGCAACTTGGCAATTGAAAACGTTCGACGAGATAACGACATTTCTGCGAGAACTCTCCATCAACCAAAGACAAAGGGTTCGTTTCCATCTTTCCCACATAACCCTTTTTGTTTTTTAAATTTCGATTTTGCCTACTTTCACTCACGGCTGTGTTACTTGTTAATGTGACAAACAGAGGAAGCTTTCAGCTTATGGTTATTGGCTTAACAGTCCCTCAGAACAAACGAGGTGAGATGGAAAGGCGCCACAGACGGACGCAAACATGGAGATAAACAAAACGCAACTCAAAGAGCGAGAGCTAATTTGTAAACTTATGGTATAATGAAGAAATTAGAAGGTGATCACGTGGTTTCTCTCTTCCTCTTTGTTTCCAATTTTCTTCTTTTTATGAAAATTCATACTATTGTTTTACTGCTGTTGTGGTTTTAGGGATGCAGCGGGGCGGGCCACGAGAGAACGAAACCCCTCCTTACCCCTTCCTAACCCCAAATGAAGCTCAAAACAGAACGCAGGAAAACAAAACTAACGAGACTTCCGTATACCGCAAACAGACGCAAGCAACGGAAATAAACAAAACATAATCCAGGAGCAAAGCTAATCTAGGCATGTGATTAATCAAGGATGTGTGTTTTCAAAATCACAAGTTCAAATCAACACACAGAGGAAAATGAGATGCGAAGGATTAATATATTTACCTCAAACAAAACTGGAATCCAGGTATGAACTTGAATCTCTTTCTTTGATTTTACTTTCCCTCTCGCAACTCCTAATGCTGATGAAAGCTTCTGATTCTGTTTGATGGTTTTGGATGAATGGCATCTGTTTTGTGATTTTGGATGAATGGTATCTGTTTTGTGATCTTGGATGAAATTTTTGTATCAGTTTTGAGATTTTGGATGAATTTGTATCAGTTTTGAGATTTTGGATGAATTTGTATCAGTTTTGAGATTTTGGATGAATTTGTATCAGTTTTGAGATTTTGGATGAATTTGTATCAGTTTTGAGATTTTGGATGAATTTGTATCAGTTTTGTGATCTGATATTGTGTTTGGTTTTAGATGATTTTTCTGTTGCTGCAACTTCTAGATTGTTATCTTTTTCTCATGCAGAAGCTCTCCTCCTATGGTCCAACTCCCTCTCCTTTTATTTCTTTTGAATCCTCAAACATAGTCCTCTACCTCCCGTCCTTGGTTGCTGTGCTCTGAGTTGTGTGTTGACTAGTTTATTTTCCTTCCAATTTAGTGTTAAGGTTTTTTACTGCAGATACTGCTACATCCCTACTTTTCATTTTAGTGACACTGTCTTTATTGATGCAGGAAAGTAGCAGCATGACTTTGTAATTTTGGTGCAAAAAACCTGGTCTGATACCTTGGTACAAGGTGTGCAAAAGTGAATCATTGTTGTGATTGAGGTGCAGAATTGTAGCATGTTTGAGAGCAGGTTTGGCGGGTTGTGTAGTTCAAGGATTTTGTCTCATTGTGGTGCAGGTTTTGTGGCAGCAGGGTGCAGGAATAAAGTGGCAAGGGTTGGTACAGTTGAGGTGACACGGCTGGGTTTTAGATTAATGTGTATGTGCAGTAGCTTTCAAGTGGCTTTGGGTGATGTACATGTATTCTTTTATCTTTTGTCATACTGGTTGTAAAAAAGAAAAAAAAGTAAAAATACAAAACAAAGGACTTAAAAAAATAGTAAATGGGCTTGGATATTTTAAATGGTTTTTGTAGAAAATTTGAACATGGAAATGACATATGGATTTGAGTAGAAATTGGATATGTGAATGGATAATTGGTAATGAACTTTAATTTATGAATATGGATAACCAAAAAAAGAAAACTTGGATTATAGTATGGAATATTTATGGATTGAATATTTGGAAACTTTGGATATAAGAATGGATAAAAATAAAAGGATAAACAAATTGGTGATGAATGAATTTTGAAAATAAAATGTGAAGTGGGTTAAAATTAAATATGTACGAGTTTGATGAATTGGATTGGAATGTGAATGAAATGGATTAAGAAAGTGATTTGGGAGCGAGTATATGTAATGAATATGTGCCTCCACATCTAAACAACACCTTAAATCCTGACACTTGAACCTGACATGCCACAAATCTTGCACAACACGACCTTGAATCCAACTTAACATGATCTTGATTGAACAAAAACTCTGACTAAATCCTCATACCAATAGCGAGATTTTAACCACTTCATCAATGCTTGCACACACACTGAATCTGCTAATCCTCAGGAGAAACTCGATTGAAGGACAATTGGCTCATTTGATTCAAACTCTTGTCATTCAGACCACTGATGAAGCCCTCCACACATGACACAAAAAAAATGGCTCCAGACTTGTCTTAAGAGCATTTGATTTGAAGTTTGAAACAGTCTAATAAGGTAAGCATGACTTAAAGATTTAGCCATAAATTTCTGGCCATTATCCTTTGACCTGATCACTTTGCTTGACAACTTGATTCTGATACAAAAATCCTAATTCGAACCTCAACCACACAATACTTGAATTAGTGCACCATGGGTAGGACAAATTTGGGGTATGACAATGCCTACGTATCTTGACGGGAATGGAACCAGAGTATTCGTAGTTCCCCTCAACGAGGGTGAGGAACTCTTAACTGTGGTCAAGGTTCTAGGGGGAAGTAAGCATTCATAGTGAAATACTTATATGGAGTGCGGCGACTCCAAGTCTATGTTGGAAGTTAAGTTGAAAAAGGTAACTAAGTATCCACGACGGGACCTTACATGGAGTACGACGACTCCTGATCCTAAGGCTAGGATGAAAGAGAAATAAATAAATGTCCATGACAGGACACTAATGTGGAGTGCGGCGACTCCTATCCTAAGGCTAGGATGAAAGGTAAGGACTTTGAGTTTTTAGGATTTGACATAATCTTTCTTTGGAAATACGTAAGGCAACATAAAAGAAATACGAGTATAACAACATGTGTACAAGGAAAGAAAATTAAGTTGTATAGTTAAATCACAGAGGATATGTATCACGAACAACCATTGTCAACTAATTGCAATCAGGTATCAAACTTCAAAAAAACGGGCCACAAGAGAATGACATTAAAAAATCGGGATGAATCACAACCCGAATGCATCAAGAATTAACTTAAACAACCAATAATCAACCAAAAAGGAAACGAGGACGATATCGATTAGATTAAGAGTTAAAAATAAAAATCTTATCTATTAAATCAAAATGTACGAAAAACTTTTAAGTAACTAAATAAATTAACTAAATTGTAACCGCTTGATTGAGTCCTAAATAAATAAATTAACCAATTTTAATTCTAATTAAAAAAAATAACTATATTTTTTAAAAAAACTAATTGAAACAAAAAATGTGGTGCATAGAGGAAAAATAAACATGTGGGCTTTGAGGCCCACCACCAATATCCAATAAACAAAAATGGGTCAGCCCCAAATCAAAGCGTACACGAGAGGGCTTGGGTGGGCTCAACTAAACCCTACCTGCCTCCTTCTATCTCTCCTCTATCCAAATCGAACGAAAATGGCCACAACGAATACGGCGAAAATCGACCCTCATACCCTTCGTCTCAGCAATGGATCTCTCTGGCGATGGCTTTGAAGAGGTATGGCGGCTTCAATGGTTGATGGTTGGCGGCAGTTTTGACGGTAGCGGTGCTTTCGAAGCTAAGTTCTTCTCCTCTTTTCTCAGTTTCGAAAACACTACCTATAATAATGTTGGTTTGTGTTTTCTTTGGTGTCTCCAAATCAATGATGAATGTTGTCTTCTTATAGGTCTGGTAAACAATTGAATTTCGATTTTGAAATGAATACCAAATAATATTTGTCGATTTTATTTTTGGAAAGAGATTTCTGGTTTATTTGGAACAGATTCCATTGTCTTGCTGCTGAGATTTAAAATAATTTCCATATTTGTTTGATTTTGCTTGAAACATGTTTGGACATATTGATTATATATCATTGTGTTTCTGAATTTCTTTCCAAAACTCATCCCGACATGTCCATAGGTGTTTTGGTAAGTTTGTAATACTATCGCAAGCCTGTTTTGAGAATAAAATCTTTTGCTGATTGACATGGATTCATCTGGCTGCTGCGGTTAACTAGGTTCCCAACTTCTGTTTGATTTTTTTGGGGACAAACTCAGTATGTTTGATACAAACCGTATTATTTTGATAAATTGTGAGCTTCAATTTTGATGTTCATGTTCCCTTATTAATGTGCGGTTGTACTCACTCATTTTTCCTGTTTCTTACTTGTTGGCAGTGTCCTGAATTTTCTGTGAAAAGTTGCTCTGATTTCAAGTTTCTTGATTGAGTATTCAGCATTGTAGGATGGATTTCGAGAGGAAGAGAGTCTTGAATTTCTCGAGGCACCACCACCGTTTTGGATTTAGATTAGGATTCGTAGCATGAATTTTCTAACTTTATATTGGTAATCCTGTGATGGAATAAAATAACAGCTGAATCTTGAACTTGTGTATGGACTCAAAATTTGAATGAAAATTGCGGACTCGACTATTCTTGGATTTAGATTGAGGCGAGTTTGAATTGTATCAACTTGGATTTAGGACTTTGATTTGAGTTTCAAAACGTTTGTACTTACGAAAATTCCTCTCGTGTAAATGATCTTTTTTTTTTTAACCTTATGACTCCAACTTAAGGCTTATAGTTTGGGTACTTGAATGGTGATGGAGTTGCAAAATCACTCTTTTAACACTTTTGAACTTTTGTAAATTTTAAATGATCTTTTTTTTTGTTGTTGTACAAAAGCTTGTGATTTTGAAGGTCGGAGTGAACTTTGGTGTACTTGTATTTTGTAATGGTGATGACTACACATGGAATTTGCTTTTAATTTAAACTCTCTTATGGATTCCTCATGTTACTTCCATTACATTTCACTTGTGATAAATCTTGGTATCCTTTTGGATTTGACCTTGTAATTCTTCTTTAACTTTCTTAAACTATTAACTTGAATTTGGTATTCTCATGATGAACATCACTAGCAACTTAACCATGGATTTCTTAAGTTTAAATCATGAAGCGAATTATATGCCCACCCCCTTGAATTTATAACTTGAATAAAAACTTCTCACCACGTGAATTTCTAATTCCTCCTTGAAATTGGTTAGAAATGTCTTGCACTTGTGGAGCTTCTTGAGATTACCATGATATATGGCGTCATGATTTAAAATCAATCTAGAACTTCAATGGTCATGCCTTGCACGTCGTAATCATGACTATGTCTTGAACTTCACAGGCTTATATCACTTTGAAATACATTAATCACATGCTATCAATCCAAATCTTCCATGGGTTCGTAAAAATAAGGGCATGTCTTTCTTTCATATCCACATGAATTCAACATAACTCGTAAAAGGTAGAATCCTGATGGACATACACACAGGGGTTTTATGACTTTCAAACTTCCTTTAGAAAACCTACAAATCAAACAAAAACTAAAATAAAATGGTTAGTTATGCGTGGATGATGGACTTAAATGATATGCGAAGCTCAAGGAATCTAAGGGTAAAATTTGGGGTATAACACTAGGGCTTCGGTCTCGATCCATTTGGTGACATAGTCGACGCCGACTATCAGGTACTTGTTCTAATAGGAGTCTATGGTAAATGGACTGAGGATGTCCATCTCCCACCAGGCGAACAGCCACGGGGAAGAGATAGTCTTGAGCTCGCTCGGAGGGGCGAGGTGCATGTCTCCGTGCCTTTGGCACCTGTCGCACTTCTTCACATGCTCCTTAGCGTCTTGTTGCATCATCGACCAATAGTATCCTGCTCGTAAGGCCTTTCGTGCGAGAGACCTTCCCCCCAAGTGCTGAGCGTTGATGCCCTCGTGGATTTCTTGGAGGATGCTCAGGGCCTGGGCTTTATCAATTCACTTGAGGAGAGAGATTGAGAAGCCTCTTAGGTATAATCTGCCCTTGAGCAGTACATAGGAGCAAGCTCGACACTTGACTGTGCTGACCTCTTTCGCGTCTCCGGGGAGGCGACCAATACTAATGTAGGCGTGTACCGGGGTTATCCAGCAATCATTGTCCCTAATGGCGTTGACCTCGAGCATTGTTTTTGCCGATTCTGTGTTGGGACGAGCGAGGACCTCCTGGACGACAGATTTGTTCCCGCATTTATTCTTCATACTCGCTAGCTTCGGTAGGACGTCCGCCTGAGTATTCTGCTCGCGAGGAACGTGTTGTACCTCTGCAGCGTTGAAACTCTTCATCTGCTCCCTTATAAGGGGTAAATATTCGACCATGTTGTCGTTCTTGGCCTGGTACTCACCCCGGACTTGTGAGGCGACCAACTGGGAGTTTGTGAAGATTTTTATCTCCTTGGCTCCGAGGTCTTCTATTAGGCGGAGTCCGACCAAGAAGGCTTTGTACTCGGCCTGATTGTTCATCGTCGGGAAGGCCAAGGTAAGAGAAACTTCCACGACCGTGCCTTCCTTGTTTTCCAAGATAATTCCCGCGCCGCTCCCCGATGAGCTCGAAGCGCCATCAACGAAGATGGTCCACTTGTGGGCTCCAGGGGTTGGTTCCGTGGTGGGCGTCATCTTGGTGACAAAATCGGCTAGTATCCGTGCCTTAAGCGCTTTTCTGCCTTTAGAGACGATGTCAAACTCAGAGAGAGATTGAGAAGCCTCTTCGGTATAATATGCCCTTGAGCAGTACATAGGAGCAAGCTTGACACTTGACCGTGCTGGCCTCCTTCACATCTCTGGGGAGGCGACCAGTGCTAAGGTAGGCGTGTACCGGGGTTATCCAACAGTCGCTGTCCCCAATGGCGTTGACCTCGAGCATTTTTTTTGCCAATTACGTGTTGGGATGAGCGAGGACCTCCTAGACGACAGATTTGTTCCCGACTTTATTCTTCGTACTCGCTAGCTTCGATAGGACGTCCGCCCGAGTATTCTTCTTGCGAGGAACATGTTGTACCTCTGCAGCGTCGAAACTCTTCATCTACTCCCTTATAAGGGATAAATATTTGGCCATGTTGTCGTTCTTGGCCTGGTACTCACCCCGGACTTGTGAGGCGACCAACTGGGAGTCCGTGAAGATTTTTATCTCCTTGGCTCTGAGGTCTTCTGCTAGGCAGAGTTCGACCAAGAAGGCTTCGTAATCGGCCTGATTGTTCATCATCGGGAAGGCCAAGGTAAGAGAAACTTCCACGATCGTGCCTTCCTCGTTTTCCAGGATAATGCTCGCGCCGCTCCCCGATGACCTCGAAGCGCCATGAACGAAGATGGTCCACTTGTGGGCTCCAGGGGCTGGTTTCGCGGTGGGCGTCATCTCGGCGACGAAATCTACCAGTATTTGTGCCTTGAGTGCTTTTATGCCTTCGTAGACGATGTCAAACTTGGAGAGCTCAAGTGACCACTTAAACATGTGCCCTGACATGTTGGCCTACCGAGCAGCTGTTTGATGGGCTGCTTGGTTCTGACGACAATGGTGTGGGCTAGGAAGTAGTGTCGCATCCTTCTGGCCGCGTTGACGAGGGCCAGGGCAACTTTCTCGATCTGCTGGTACCTCACTTCGGGACTGTGGAGGGCCTTGCTCGTGAATTAGATTGACTTCTATTCGTCAGGAGTTTCTCGGATCAGTACTGCACTGAAGGCCTCGGTGGAAACGACCAGGTACAGGTAGAGGTTTCTCCGATGTCTGGTCTCGTCAGGATCAGTGGCTCCGACAGGACGCGTTTGAGGTAGAGGAGGGCTTGTTCACACTCCTGCGTCCATTCGAACGCGACCTCTTTCCTTAGTAGATTGAAAAATGGGAAGGCGTGTTGTGCAGATTTGGCGATGAAGCGGGACAACAAGGCGAGCATCCCATTTAGGGACTGTATTGACTTCTTCGAGCTCGGCATTATGATCTTGGAGAATGCCTGACATTTATCGGGGTTCGCCTTGATCCCTCGTTCGGTCAGGTAAAACCCGAGGAACTTTCCCGCGTGTACTCCGAAGGTGCACATCTCTAGGTTAAATCGCATTTTGCACCTCCTCGTTGTTTCGAAGACTTTCTTGAGGTGGGTCTTGTGGTCGACCTTGATACGAGATTTGACGATCATGTCGTCCATGTAGACTTCGAGCATGTCGTCAATCACTCCTCGGAAGACCTTGTTCATCATTCGTTGGTAGGTGGCGCCGGCGTTCTTCAGGCCAAAAGGCATTACGTTGTAGTAATAGTTGTCCGACTCGATCATGAAGGCCTTGCTCTGTTTATCGGCCTCATCCATGGGGATCTGGTTGTACCCCAAGTAGGCGTCCATGAAGGACAATAATTTGAAACCTGCCGAGTTGTCGACGAGCTTGTCGATATTGGGGAGGGGATAGGCGTCCTTGGGACATGCCCGGTTGAGATCGGTGTAATCAACGCACATTATCCATTTTCCATTAGATTTTTTGACTAGTACAACGTTGGACAGCCAGGCTGAATACCGGGCTTCTGAAATAAAATTTGCCTCTAGGAGTTCTTTTACATCTTTTTCAGCAGCCGCCGACTTTTGGAGAGACTGCCTACCCCTACATTGTACTACGGCCTTCGCGGCTAGGTTGGTGGAGAGATGGTGGCAGGCGACCTCGGGGTCAAGGTCGGGCATCTCGGCGGCGCTCCAGGCGAAAAGGTCTACATTCTCACGGAGGCAGTCTTTCAGCTGCTTCTTCGCCAGGTCGGGTAGTCCACGTCCAATCTTCACGCTCCTGGTCGTATCGTTGCCGAGGGCCACTAGCTCGAAGTCCCCGTCAGGGATGGGGAGCTTTGGGTGGAAGGGCTTCCCGTTGACCGCTGGAGGAGAATGCTCGGCTTCGTCTTCGTGGTCCTGTTCACCGGGGTAGCGGCAGTCGAGTTCCACGGCGTCGACGTGGTCCTTTGGCCTGCTCTCCTGGACGGGCCGAGGCTTGGTCGCTTTAGGAGAGGGACCGACTGTACTGAGGCCCTTCATTGCTGCCTCGAAACATCTTCGGGCTGCCTCTATGTCCCAATTAAGGGTGGCGACGGCTCCCCACCTGGTGTAATACTTCATCTTAAGGTGTATTATCGATGGCACTGCGGTAAGCTCTTCCAGCGTCGTCCTGCCTAAGATACAGTTGTACAGGGATGAACACTTGACGACCAGGAAGCAGATGTTGATTTCCCTGGCCGTCTCCAATGCCCCAAAAGTGACCTTGAGCTCCACGTATCTCCACGGTCTCTTTGTCGTCCCGTTGGACCCCTGGAGGTCGGAGCCGACATAAGGGGTCAGGTTGGTCTCGTCGAGCTGCAA